ATTTTCTTTTAAAATGTATTACATTTATAAACATGCCCCCCCCCCATTTTTCAATAATATTAATGTTGAACACTTTAATAAACAAAAATTCAGCTAAAGAATTATAATTAATAGAAAATGAGAGAGAAGTCTGTGGTTAAATAATAACTTATTTATTTGCTGAAGGCAAAGAATGGACATTAAATGATGAGGCTTGCAAGCCGTGAGAAGACTTTTATGAAATGTGAAACATGTTTGTCAAAAGTGAAGTTTTAATTACTGAATGTGGTTGAGGGGCAATGATGACCTTTAAAGCCTGAACATGCGACTGGAAGACGAAGAAGAGTGTTGAAGATGTGAATGTCAACACGTCTCAGATTAATTTCTGAGCCCTAAGATCTTTATCGAAATACTGCTAGAAGGGAAAAAACAACAAGAAAGTCTCAGAGCTTCCATTAGTTCCCTCTACTTCCATGGAAATAATCAATGGCATCTAGAAGCGAAGTCTCAGGGGGAGTCAGACTAATTAAAAAGTAGTGCCCGTATCAACACAGAGTGATAGGAAGTGTCAACTGGAATTCGGGGAAGAGCATCTGTGCAGGGTTTATCTTGATGCACGAAAAGTCTGAATAATAGACACATATAGGTGTCATAATTTGACTCTTAGGTTCATTATATAGGATTTTTGTTGGTGGAGGATCAGGGTTAAAACTCGAAACATAAATTTTTTCATATTAAGCATTCTACATAATGTAGTATACATTTGTTCAAGAGACCCTGGACATATCTTTGCTTGGGCCATGCGTTGCAAAGGTTCATACATGGCTGCAGTGTTTCCCCTACCATTAAATAGGAGGGGTGCACCACCAGTTTAAGATTGAACACCCCAGGTAGGTAGGATGGATGAATGCTTTGGTGGATGTGTAGGATGGGTGGGTATTATGGGTATGTGGGAACATGGATGGATGTTTAGGTGGGCAAATGAATTGATGGATGTATTTTTGGGGGTGGGTAGGATGGGTGGATGAATGGATGTTTGGCTAGCTGTGCGGATGGAAGGATGAATGTTTGCTTTTGGATGATGGATGGATGCTTGGGTAGGTACGTAGTATGGATGGATGTTTGGTTGGATGGGCGGATGGATGGATGTTTGAGTAGGTGTGTAGGATGGAGTATTGAGTGGGTGGACGGATGTTTGGGTGGGTGGGAAATGGATGGATGTATGTTTGGAGGTGGGTAGGATGGGTAAGTGGGTGGATGGATGTTTAGGTGGATGTGTAGGAAGGCACCAGCTGATCTTTTGATAGCGTTTTGAGTTTCTATTGCAGACTTCAAGCCCAAGTACATTCTAACCATTTTTGCCAAATAACCAAGTCCTAGCTAAAACAAAAAAAAGTGCCAAACTACAACAGACCACAAAAATACACATTTTTTAACAGTATCCCTACAAAGTATTAAAAGTTGCACAAAATCTCAAGAGGTACTATTTATAAACACTCGGCACACCTTTTTTCCTTTCTGATCGAAAGTTGTCCCTGTCACCTACTACTGAGTCCAATATGAGAGAACAGTCAATCACAGTTGAAACAACCAGTGGTTTTTAACTATAACTGCAGCGTCAGTTCTGGAAGATCAACAAGAACATCTATATTTATTGTCATGAAGTTGGTCTATGCAAGAGTCATTTGTTGCTCCACACCCATTCATCTAATATTAAAAACAGCACTGAATGTTTGTCAGATGCTCGGTGGTCGATGCTGTAGCAACATTTAAGTGCCGGTGTCAGGACTTCTGCACTACCCCTCAGCATCAGTGCTGTTCTTATAATCCTCAACATCTCACACTCTCCAGTCGTGAGCTTTGATGTATCCATTCATTTAGGAAGTTCATTTCACTCCCAGGAGAGTGCTGCTCACTTTCTCAAAGTAATTGGCTTGTAAATCAGAGCGGGAGGAGAACAATGCTGTTTGTTAGCAATAATTAATGAGCACATGTGCATTGAAGAGCACCAAGAGACCTCTTTTGAACAAAGATGAGTGACGAGGGGTGCTTGAGAAGCCCTCTCTCGAACCCTCCTGAGTCCTTCAGTGTGCACACATCCAGGTTCTGAAGATGGAATGTTTATAAGAAGATTTTCAGTAAACTATGCAACCTCTGCTCAATTTATGCAATTTTTTATGTTTTTTTCTATCCATAGTTCTATCCATGACTTGAACGAATAGCTACAGCATTTTATCTTTAAATTACCAACAGCAGATTAGATTGGGGACTCGAAATTGCTCCAGAGATTCATATTTGCTCACGTTTTGTGCACGTTTAATAATTGCTTTAGGACTTTAAAAGGGATCCATGCTGCAGCTGAAGGTACTGGATCTCTGGCTACATTGCATTTAATCAGATAATCCGCAACGGTTGTCTGAGACAAGTTGGGTGATTTTATTAACCCTTAAGATATTTTTAAATACAAAAAAAAGTCTATACTTCAATAAAGTAAGTCAAATAGCTACAGTTATTTTTCGGGCAAAGCGAAACGAGACACTGGAAATTTCTCCTGGACATCTGTAGGAATAAGATCACGACTTCAACATTCCTGAAGGGTTTGTGGTTAAGTGTACCAAACCAATCAGACATTTAACCAACACTCTATGGGTGTGGCGTCTGAAGCAGAGACTAACTCCAAATGAAGCCAAATTTTATTAATTGAAGTTTAGGAATGTTTAGATGTGTTAATGTTATTTAAGCTAAAGTGACTTTTAACATGTAATGTACTGACGATTGGTTTCAAGTGACCGCGCCACACACACACACACACGCACACACACTGTATAAAAGTCTTTTTATTATTTAGTTGCATTGAAATAAATCAACTGAATATTACTTGACTTAAGCACGTTTATTAGGCAAAACTTTTATTATTTTGTCTTGTTCCATAAGAGCTCTCAGTGAAAGCCTAGCACTAACATCATTTAAAATGAACGAGTAGGAATCTGTTGATTCTGGAGCATCTGTGGACCTGGCATGTTTTTGGAGGCACCCGTGTGGATTAATGGACTACTTGCTTTGAGCTCCTTGAAATAGTTCAGGTTTAAAATAACACAACTCAGAAGATTTCAGCTGTCCACCATTCTTCTTTTGTATTAATTTATAAGAATTGCATCCATTTTTATTTAATTTTAATGCTTTATTTATAAGTTATGCATTTGCTATTATCCAAAGAAAGAAACTAAATTATTAGCCAAACTACTCCTCACCTGATTCCATTATCCTCCTGCACCTGTGTCCCTCATCAAAGCCAGCATCACTTCAACCCCCCTCAAACCTTCCAGTAATGGAGGATCCTGGAGTACTCTACACGTACATCTTGCTTCCTAAGACTTCTAAGACTTCCTTCTTGCTGCGACTTTATTGGGATTTTCCTCATTCTGTGACTGTAACAAGAGATAGTGTATATCTTGCATATGTGTATATCATATGTGCACACATTTCTATAGCTATCTAGATCGGTGGGCACCTCCTGGGCTCCTGGTGGCTCTCTGCTTTCTCCCACACTGAATGGTTTGACTCTCTTCTCACCAGCTACTCTCGCATTTAAGAGCGCGCAGCTGATGACTCGCACCTGGCAACACTGACCACACCCCGCAGCTCATCACCCTCCCCCCATCTAAACGTTGCCATGCTCCAAGGGGAGGTTAATCCTGAGGTGCAAAGTTTTTCTCCAATGACTTCTGTGCCCGCATTCTCCACCGTTGTCATGAGTTGGCGAGAAAGACACAGACACACAGGCACTGATTGAAGCCGCACAGGGCATTTTAATTCAAAATAATGGCTACACCTTATAAATAATGAAAAAAATCACTCAGCATCTTCCTCGAGATGGTAGTGAGCAGGTTCTGTGATCGTGGGTCTGGGTAGTGCGCTGGGAGTACTCGGGGTGTCTTAACCCTGCTTGGTCTAGTGGCGTGTCCACTGTGCTAGTGGATCCACCATGCTTCAGGCTCCAAGCTAACTAGATCCTTGTGCCCCATCATTGACTCCTGGTTGGAAAATGAGCGGTCCAGCACCGGGCATGCTCTTTCTCTGGAAACTAGCCGAGCACAGTGACTCAGCTGGCTCGGTGGCGACACTCTACACCCGGTTGGTGTACACATCCTGGGCTCCGTTGGCTCCCGGTGGCTCTTGCGGCGTCCATGGTGAGATGGTACAAATTCCTGCATCCTGAAGCTGTCTTCTCACCGGCTGCTCTCACATTTAAATTGCACCTGGAAGGACTTTTTGTTACATTCATGCCTTTATTTTCTGCATTTCACTTCTAATTTTTTTACTACCGCCTTGGTCATTTGATTTGAGTTCCATCATATGATCACTCATTCTGGTTTTTCCTGCTGTCTGTCCCTTCCCGTCTAGGTTCCTATTTAGTTTCTTTACTCCCCAGTTGTTTTGTGTTATTCTGTGTACATATTCCCACTCCTACATGAGCTTGGCATGGGAACTAATGTTTATCACTACAGATCGTCGTCATGCAACGCAACCTTTGTGTGAGAGAGTTGTTCTTAGTTTAGTTACTCCTCCTTTGATGAAGTCTTGTACTATTCAGGTTTTCCCTTCAAGGGTCTTTTATGTTTCCATTACTAGTTTTTGTGATCAATAAACTCTAATAAATATGGCTTTCAAGCCAAAGGATTTGAATACAACTTCTGGGTCTGCTTGAACACGTCATTAGTGAAAAACCCAGGGTCATAAAGAGTTTCTGCCCTTTAATTTTCATACACCCTCACCCGGGCAACCCAGTTTGTTTTCAAGTGGTCTGTCGCTCCACAGATCCCCCATGTGGATCCACAGCCACCATGAATAAGACTCTCTATGCGGCCTCTGAGAGGTTTCTTGTGGCTTTTCTCAATAGCAATCCTCTCACTCCAAAGAGTTTGAAGGTTCGCAGCAATGAGCAGCCATTATAAATTGTCTTAGGCCCCAAATTTTCATTGTGAAGCTCGTGCTCTGATGCACCTCGATATTAAACCATGGGCCGTTAGTAAAGTGGATAGCATCTCCACTTGTCTCGCGGAAGACCAGGGTTCAAATCCCTGACATGAAGTCTTAAACCTTTGTGGGGGGCGTGGTGGCGCATTGGGCAGCACTCTTGCCTTCCAGTTTGAAGGTTGTCGGCTCGAGACCTTCCTGGAAGGAGTTTGCATGTTCTCCCTGTGCTTGCATGGGTTTCCTCCGGGTACTCCGCTTTCCCCCACAATCCCGAAAACAAAGATAATATAAATTCCCCTTGGGTGTGAATGTGTGAGTGAATGTTGCCCTGCGATGGACTGGCGATCTGAAGATAACAAGTGGGTTGGAAAATAAATGAATGAATATTATAGTTGTATCTACTTTTTTGGAGACTGTATCTCCTTTCCTGACAGTCAGAAACGTGCTTGTGTTTGGATATAATCCAAACAAGTTTTGTCAAAGTAGTGAAATGTAAAACAATGTTCTTTACTTGCAATGTTTTTGCAAGATGTCACCAACATTTTTTTAGGAAAATGGAAGTAATGCCAGACATCAATTTAGCATAAAATGGCCCCAAACATGCTTTGGTAATGCAAGTTATTGATGCAAAAACTTTTAACAAGCTAATTATTTCAAGGTATTATCATTTCCTTTTTGTTGTTACATTTTTCCTAATTAAAAATAACACTCATTTTGAGTTTTTCAAAATAATTTTAACAAACCCTTTATTTAACAAACCCTTTAAACCTGTGCACTTTTCAAATGCACATTTGTTTTAATTGAAATTGGAATTTCTAATAAAACTTCATGACAGCCGTGCAAAATATTCTGTTTACTTCATGTAAATTTAACCTCAGTTTATTTCTTTTGTGAAATCTCTTGCAGTTGATGTTGCTCAGGCTCATTTTAAAAGTTGTTCTGCTGTAATTTCACAATTACCACTTGGGTTATCACAGAAAATCATCGTAATGCAAAATAGCTCTCTTTCAAAGGACAAAAATCATAACCAGGCGGTTTTCAGAGAAATTATATTTTTGCTCTGTGAGGAATGACTGTGCTAATGATCGCTTTACCAATATTCTTTTCAGATTTCCCTCTGGTCAATCTCTCGGTGGAGCCACAGCCGGTGCTGGAAGGAAATCTGGTCAAGTTCCACTGCGCTGCGAAAGCCAATCCTCCAGTCGCTCGGTACAGGTGAGTTGGAGAACACCTCCCTCTCTCTATCTCAATCTCCCTCCCCCTCTCTCACTGTTTTGTTCACACACTAGTTTCTCAGAGGAACATGTGTTGATCATAAATGCACAAGAGACTGCATGAGAAATTAATGTTTTTTGTCAAATGTGATTGTACAAAAATAACATCTGAGACTTTATCCACATCTTGAATGAAAGGCTGTGAAGTATATGCAAATGCAGCGATTGTAAATTCATGTGTTCTTTTCCCTGTATGCCTTTGTCACTTTGATGCAGAATAACAACTGCAATGGTTTCAATCATAAATAATAACGTAACTCCACGATAACAGTTTGGCTTTAGTTCATGGTCTTTCTGTTCAGTTTGTTAATCAAATTGCAGTGAAGTCTGTTGCAGAAAATGGATTAGCCAATTAAATTTCAACCCTGATGATATTGGATGTCCATCAACAAATAAACCTCATCCAGAGCTGGGGGGGGGCAGAGCCTGGGGGCTCAGTGTTGGACATACTCAAGACATAGATGCTAGGCTTTCTAAATATATGTCCGAGCCAACCTGATTGTCTCCTCTATTCTACTTTAAGCTACTCGAGAGTACATCGTCCTAAATCTCCTTCCACCATTTCAAGATTGTTGTCTGGTTTCTTGGATCTGAGAACTAGCTGTTTCAGTCGTGGTGCAATGCTCATGAGCAGAGTAGGAAAACAGATTTAGAGATAAACCTTTCAACACCACTTTCTTGTTTCGGACTTCAGTGTCCAAAGACCTTAAAACCTGAAGTCTGAGGAAGGACGATTGTCCCAGATGAGGTTTACTCATTTCCGTTTCTGAGCTAGACTTTGATTCTTTGAATAAGTTTAGTTTATTAAGGTTTTGCCCTCATGAACTATTTATTTTGTTTATACGCTTTGTGTGGTTGTATGCTTTTACTGGTTTGTTGGGGTTTTTTAAATTTTTTTTTAATTTAATTTTACTTGTATCACCGGTGCCACAATAACTCTTTACTTCGGTGGCAACAGTTGTATGTGGATTTATTTCCCCCCAACTTAGCATTCAGAGACCACTTACGACATTCTAATATCAATTCCTTTTTATCTTAGGGTAGCTCCACGGTGGACTGCTATGCTTAATCCCAGACCAAACACCAGAAATGCTTTTCTGTGTTTCAAGTTACGCACCTTGAAAGCGTCTTCCCACTCCCCTTATAGCTAGATGGGTAATGCACTAACTTGCATCAGCCCGCCATCAATTCTTTCGAACATTAGGCTAGCCAATCATAGAAAAGCCACAGAGTACTGCCCTGCCTAAACCCAGACAGATACCGGATATTCCCTTCTGATTCCACATGAAGCACTCCCCAGGTCTGACCACTCAGCAAATCTGTAACAATTCACTTCGGCCCAGTTGCATCAATCTTGTAGCCAGAAGCACCATCCCTTCGATCTATCCACTTTAAGATCCCCATAACAGAGTTACACCCTATAGTTACTCCCACAAGAAGGTTTTCCCCATCCACTTCTCTGGTTTGGTAGTTTCACCTATCCCTCTTTTTTGTTTTTCTGAGGTATCCCACCTACTCCAAACCGTCCTCAGAAGCCCCTATCTAGAACTATTAAGTCACTCTCCTTCCATTAGACCCCCCACCCCTCCTCTACCATTCGGGTTTTTTGGGCTGGTATGACTAATGGTAGCTGTTTTGACTTTGGGGGAGGTCCAGATAGTCAAACTCCTGAAATCTCCTTAAAAAAAACTCAATTTGGACACTCAATTTGAATTTTATTTTATTTTCACAGGTCAGTCACAACAGAGTTGTGGCAATAATTTGTCATTTTTGGCAGCCCAGATATTAATCAATTGAAAATGCTAATGTTGTGGCTATGGAGAAGACAATCAATGGTTTCACATCAGGGATCTTTTCCTGCACATTCTGCTGTTAACAAGGTCAGATCCTGCACCAGGAGCATTTGGTGAATGTTTAGATGAACCGTATAGAGGTGATCAACGTGCACTGTGGACTGTTTAAAAATGTTGTAAACATTTTAACACCCTCCTGTCCTGATTGTAATTAATGCAAACTGGTCAGTGTAAAAAATAAATAACTACATAAATTCACTGCCTCCATCCAGAGGATGAAACAACACACCAGGTATTCACTCCCCTGGAGATAACAAAACTGCCCAACTCAAATGAAACACCTACTCCCCATGTGGTGGCTTTTAAGAAAGGACAGGACACGATAAAAAAATGTTCTAAAGAGTGATTTAAGGAGGTGAATCATTTACTCAAGGATTCTTTCATATGATAATGAGTTGGATCAGAATTAATTTGCTCAATTTTTATTCATTCTCAAATAAAGAATCAAGAGAACCCTTGAAGCGCTGAATCTTTAAATCTTTCTGAAATGCTCCTGCACCTCATAACATTTACCTTTGCCAACTGTGAAAGCAGCCATGCATAATTCATCAAGATCTGAAAACCCTGACATGCACGCCAGGCTCTGTCTGCCAAACAAAGCATTTCTGCTTGGCCTGGTCTGGTCGGCTGCAGACAAAACCTCAAACGAAACATAACGTCAGGAAAACATTCCCCACGAATGAGAAGGCTCTCCTCTATTCTCACAAAACACGGTTTATATTGTACAGAAGCCCGACTAATTATAAAGAAAGTCATTAATGATTGCAGGAGATTTCCTGTGGGTATACGCGCTTCCTCAGAGAGGATTAGAGCTGCTGCGCTAGAAAGAGGAAGCATTATTTGAACCAATATTTCATCCACATTTTGTTTATATAAACATGGAAATTAATTGAACTCTGCGGTTTAGGCAGTTATTTTTTTTTAAGCAGGAATGTTGCATTGTTTTTGTAGGCAACTGTTGCAGAAGTAAAACCCCTCTATGGGCAGATGAAGCAAGATCAGAGAGAAGCTGTAAATTAATTAGCAGAATTGAAGCCTTTACATTCAGCGGCTGTGATGGTCAAATGAGACCTTGCCTTTTTTTTAAATTTAGCATAACAATGTTTCGCCTGATGGACTCTGGCATGATTAATCTCAGAGCTGGTGACTGGAGAAGTCTAGGAGCCCCGATGAAAACGAGAAAGCCACGAGACAGTTTCCAAGTAAAAGTCTTATTATTTCACAAAGTGCTCTAGAATGCCACTGATTTAATCATCACCCAAAAAACCACTGGCATCACTAGATACCCTAAAGACATGTTTGATCACTGAACAGAATCCCTATCATGTCCACCATATTGGATCCCTCAAACATCCAGATGTGAACCACTTTATTAAACGAGGGGCAACCTCTGGTTTTCCTCTTCAAGCCTAATGTGAAGTGACTTTAACTGCAATTCCTCTACCTGCCGCTAGAGACTGGCTCCAGAAGTGAGCAGGTTCTCATTCACTCCCATGTTGAAACTGCCAAATTTGGAGCTCAAAACTTATATTTTCACCCCTGGCTCCAATAGTTTTGTTGATTTAAATCTCTAGATTTGACCTTCATGAACATTTTTATTTGTTTCAGATTTATCAAGCCTTACAGTTGCGCATAATTTAAGGGTGTGGTTTCACGTTACAGCGTCATTTTTTAGTGTCTTTGCTACTTGCGTTTTTTTTGGGGGTTTTTTTGTGTGGTCTGGTTTGTTGGATTTCAAATTTAACATCCTTTGTAAGCTATGCTTTTAAACTATATAACAATGATTGTGATTTACAGAGAATTGCTTATTAAGATAGACAAACATATTTTTACATAATATCAGCTAATGCATGTTGTCCATGTTGGGGGCTGGTGGAATTTAAGGAGGTGTTACTTGATTTACAGTCATTTGTTATCTGATCATGTTTTGAATTGACCACTCCTTTTGTGGGCAGCCCCCAAAGGTTTAAGATAATGTATAAGATAAAAAG